CCGGGGGGGGGGGGTCTTCCTGGGTCACTCCCTTCTGAGCATCTTGTGGTATCCAGCAAACCATGGGAGGAGCTAGAGGGACTCTCACAGCCCCTGGGCATGTCAGGAGCAGTGCAGCCTAGGGCCCAGGGTCCCCCAAATGCAAGTCTCACCCTGGCACAGGTCATGAGCTTTGAGCCTGCAGGGGGCGGAGGGACCGCTGGTACCTCTGTCCATCACCCATCCGCCCTTTGATGGGCCCTGGGAAACCCCAGTGACACAGAGGGGACAGGGTGGGGCCTCCCCTGACCTCGCACAGTGCCCACACCTAGGAGCCTCCCCAGCTGAACCTGGCTGCCCACCCTGGATCCAGGGGTAGGTCTGCATCTCTCCCTCCCACTGGCCTCTTCCCTCCCCAGAGCACATCAGCTATGTGCCCCGGCTCTCGGGCGCTGCCCTGGAGGGGAAGCTCACCCAGTCCACCTTCACTCTGGAGCAGCCGCGGGGCCAGTTCAACCACACCAGCATCTCGGACTCTGACCTCATCTGGCTGGTGGTGGCCTATAGCAATGGTGGGTGTGACTGCGGTGGCCAGCCTCTGTTTCTCCTCTGTGACATGGGCTGGAGGGGAGGGCAGTTGGGAGCAGACATAGTTGCTGGGGAGACATAGCTGGGGGAGGATCTGGCCTGGTGGAGGCTGGGAGTCCCACCTGGGCTTCCTTACCATCTGACCTGTGATGCCCCCCTCAGCCATCCAGAACTTCGGTGCCCCACAGACAACACAGGACATTCCTGTTCCGGCCACCTTTGCACAGAAAGGCTACTACTTCACACTGCCCACCAACCGGCTTCGCTACCCGAGCGGCCCTGCCAGCAGCCAGCTCCGTGTCCTCCGTGTTGGCAATGATCCGCACTGTTCCCCCATGAGAAGGGGCTGCAACCCTCCCCTGCCAGGCTCGGGGCCGTACCGGTGAGAGGCTGAGGTGGGCTCCTGCCTGAGCCCACCTGGAGCCCTGGGCAGCCCCTATGGTCTTTCTTGAGTGATGGACCCCGACCCAATCCCCAGCCCCCATGGGCCTCCTGGACCCTGCAGATGGAGCAGCCTCGTCCCATCCACTCCATGCACAAGCTCCAGCCCCTGGCCCCTGGCCCCTGGCCCCTGACCCCTACCAAGCACTTTCCTAAAGGAGGGCATCAAGGCCCTGAGAAGGAGAGGGAGGCACCCAGGTCATACAGCTGGAAGATGCCCAGCTAGCGTCCAAATCTTTTGGGTTCTGAGGCTACTCTGTTTAACCCCAACTCCCTACCTCACCCTAGGTTGCTTTCCCCAGGGTCTGGGAGTTGAGACAGGACCCCAGGTCCCCCACTTCAATGCTGGGTTTCCTGTTAGGGTGAAGTTTCTTGTGATGAATGACCATGGACCCGTGGCGGAAACAGAGTGGTCCAACGAGACCCACCTGCACCAAGGTATGGGGAGGCTGAAGCAGGGATGGGAGCCAAGGGCTGGGAGGGAGGGAGCTGGGGTACCAGGCCAGCTTCCCATAGTCAGAAGCACCTCGTCATCACAGCGTGCTGGTGCCCCTCCCCCAGCCCACCTCCCACCTCTCTCCCGAGCTGGAGACTGGGACAGTTGAGATTTTTTTTCCTGCTATACTGGGGATTGAACCCAGGGCCTTTGCACTGAGCAATATCCCCAACCCTTTTTTATTTTGAAATAGTCTCGCAAAGTCACGAGTTCCCCAGCCTAGGATCAAACTTTTTTTTTTTTTTTTATACTGGGATCGAACTCTGGTCCTTGCGCTTGTAAGGCAAGTGGCAGAACCCTTGAGCTAAATCCCTGGGCCCTAGGATCAAACTTTTGTTTTGATCCTCCTGCTTCAGCCTCCCAGAGTGCTGGGATGCCAGGCGTGCCGCACCATTCCCTGCTGAAATTTCCTTTTTTGTCCATCATGCTCCCAGCTAGGGCATTCGAGGCTGTCCGGGGGTTCCAGAGAGAGGGCACCGTGGTCATCATTGCCATCCTGTCTGTCCTGCTGGCCATCTTCCTGGCGGCTCTCCTCGTCTTGCTCTCGTCCACCTGGTCCACCTGGTGAGTGGCGGGGCTGGGACTCTGGTGCCTTCCCGCAGCAGCCCCTGGTCCAGCCCCTCCCTGCCGCCCCCTGTTGGGATGGTTTTCCTTGAAGGAAAATATACTGAGCAAGGGATCATCCAGGCTCCAGAGCCTCCAGGTCTGAGCTAGTGACCCATCCTTTCCGCTGGGAAGACACAGGGACGGAAATGGGCCGCGAGTGCATTGCCCACCCCCACCCAGCTTGTCCCTCTCCATTCTCCGCCTACTTTCCCAGCGGGCACACCGCCCCCTCGTGGCAATCCCTGGAATTGCAAACGGGTGAGAGGCAGACGCGGGCCAGGAGACTACCAGGGTAGAGGATGGAGGTAGGGGTTAGGGGTAGGGGTTTGTTTTCAGGCGAAGCGGTGAGCTTGGCTGCAAGATTTGAGGCAGAAGGCCGGGGATTTAGCTCAGTGGTTCATACGCCATTCCGAGTTCGATCCCCGCCACGCCCCGTACAAAAAATAAAGGCAGAGCTCCGTGCTGAGCCTGGCAGAGTGTGTACAAAGCTTCCGGAAGGAAAGGAGACGCCTAGCTGCTCTGGGATATGAAAAAGGCAGCTCCGGAGCTGCAGGAAGGGGATGGTAGGGAAGTGGCAGGGTGTGGGGGACAGGAGAGTAGCAGGCAGCCAAGGTCATGGGCCTGTATCTCCCAAGCCTGTATGAGCCTGCAGTGGGCCTGACTGGGGGAAATGGATTTAAAAAAAAAAAAAATGTTCAGAACTGGGGATTGAACCAGAGCCTTTACACAGAGCTCATCCCTCGACCCCAGTCCCTGTTTATTTTGAGATGGGCTCTCTTTCAATTGCTAAGTTGTCCAGGCTGGCCTAGAACTCGGGGTCCTCCTTCAGCCTCCTGGAGTACTGTGGTTACAGATATGCACCACCATGCCCAGCTAGGAGTTAGATTTTGGAGGCTTAGAGAAACAGCCTGGGTCCTTTTTGAGAATGCTGCCTGGTCAGGGGAGCCTCAGTCTCCCCTGTGCCATGGGTCGGAGCACCCTGCAGCACTGTAGGACAGCCATCAGGCCCTTTGTTCACCTTTCTCTCCCTCTCCCTGCACCCAAGCTTTGACAGCTGCAGGAGCACTCGCATTTCCAGCCCAAGAGAGCGGGAAAGGGCAAGAAGATACAACATCCACCACATGTGCAGCCCTGAGCCTGAGAGGGGCTCCTGAGAGGCTCCTGAGCTGCTGGCCGGCTGTCTCTCAGGCTGTACTCTGAAACTTCCAGAGACCTGAGAGATGCATCAAGGACAGGAGAGGGTGCCCTCAGCCCCAGTGCTATGGGAAATAAACGTCCCCTGCTTGTCTGTGACATTGTACAGCTGGTCGGTCTTGCTGTCCCCCTGCCCCAGCTCTGCCAGGGGAGACTGTCAGTGGGCTGCAGGACTAGTGGGGAAACTCTGGGTCCAAGGCCAGCTGAGTCACCCCAGCCGACTGCAGTCTCTCTTGGGGCTCAGTGTCCCTATCTGAAGAATGATGGCCTCCCTGGGTGACTGTGAGACCAAACCAAGGTGAGCATATAACCCAGGAGAGAGGCTCACCCTGGCAAAGCCCTGGGTTCAAATCCCAGGACCGCAAAAAAAAAGCAACATCAACTTAGCCTGGAGCAGGACCCAGTCCCAAACCCAGACCAGGGCACCAGTGTTTATCAGCAGCAGCTCCATGGGCCCCAACTGGCCCAGGCAGATTGTGTCCTCAGGCTGCCCCCTGCTGTTGAGGAACAACAGTGGCACCCAGGGGGCAGAGGGCCTTGGAGGCTTCAGAGGCTTCCTGGGGAGGCAGAGAGGGGATGGGGAGGTGGCAGACTTGTGCCTCCCGAGGAAAGGAGGCTGGCTGCCTCTGCGGCGCCTGCCTGGGGCGGTGGAAGTGGCCCAAGCAGTTTATTAGCCAGAGCAGATGCATCCGCCCCCGTATCCTGCTCTGGAGGAAATAAATGCTCAAGTGGTAGGAGGGGCAGGCAGGATGGGAGAGTCAGGGAGGAGGCAGGACAAAGACTTCCAGCTGCTGCTGTTAAGCCTTGGCCTCTCTGGAGACTTTTTAGGACAGTGATGTGCCCAGGCCCTGGGTCTGGGTGATCCCGGACAGGTCACTTACCCAATATGGGTTCAGTTTCCCTTTATGTAAAAAGCAAATGCTGCTGAGGCAGGAGGATTGCAAATGCAAGCCTGTCTGGGCAATTTAGCAAGAGGCTGTCTCAAAATAAAAAATAAAGAGCTGGGGATGTAGCTCAGTGCAAAGGTCCTGGGTTCAATACCCAGTACCACCACCACCACCAAAAACAGACAAAGGTTGAACAGAGTGCCTGTATTTGTTAGCACTTTCCCTGCACCCTGTAGGGCTGGGTTCTGGCAGGAAACAGATGGCAAGCCATCCCACAGGGCAATTGAGGGCATTTACAAAGGTGTGGGCAGCCTTGGGGGTACAGCAAGAGGGGGTAGCCCAGGGCTGACACCTACTCCCGGATCCGAGCTCTGATGGGAGGAAGGGTGAGGTGTTTCCAGAACCGTGGACAGTAGCATGGGCCAGAGTCCACCAGGCAGGAGCAGGGGAAGCCACCTCCATGTAGCCCTCCTGGGCGGAACCTGCCCCTCACTTCAGTCTTGGAAGGCAGAGTTGGGGTCCTCCCTGCTCCTTCATCCCCATTTTGGAATCAATTCCCACAACTCCTTCCACGTGTCCCCAGCCCTCATCGCTGGCAGCCGCTCACATCCTGGGCCCACATCTGCTCTATGGGAGTTGCAGGCCGCCCCCAGCAGCTCCCCCACCTTGGCCCTCATCCCTGTAGTGTAAGGCCTAAAGTCTCACTTCCACTTCACGGAGCGTGAACAGCCAAAAGGCCTCCACGATGCTGGGCCCTAACACCCAGCGAGGCTCCGGGAACACGACGGAGAACCGAGAAACCCAGGAAGGAACACACCAGCCTAGATGGTAAAGAGACCTTTATTAGTCTGGCCAGACGGCACTCCTGGAGCCAGGTGGCTCAGAGAGGCAACTGCTCAGGGGCTGAGGTACTTTTTATAAGGTTTTTCTAAACAAAGAGTCAGGGAATTCACAGAACAAGACTGCAAACACATTGTTTATCTTATGCAGGAAATGTTCTAGGGTCACCTTTTGTCACCATTTGCCCCTGGGCGGGCTGTTAACCAAGGTAGCAATTAGCATATGAAGAAGCACAGTCTGGCCTATTAGCATGGAGTCACTTTAGCCTATTCAAGTCTTACAGTAGGGTCTCAGCCAGCTCCCATGGGTGAAAATGACCCCCCTCTCACCCCTCAGTGGCCTCTGCCTGTCCTCAGTCCCCAGCCACTTTGGCTGGACAGTCCAGCGGCCCTTTGTGCTCATGTGGCACCCTCAGCCCTGCACCTCCCCCCAGTTCCCTAACCCTCGAGTCCTCAGGCCAGACACTGAGCAGACCCAGGCCAACCCCTGTCCCTGAACACACATGCCACAGACACAGCCCCAGACACAGCCTGGCCACCATCATGCAAGCCACCCGTTGGGGACCTGCCCAGGGTGAGCCCAGCCCCAGTGAGGCCTGGTGCAGTGCAAGTGCAGCACGGTGGGATTCTCCTGGGGTCTTCTGAGGCCAGGAGTCAGGACTGGCCTGAGGGAAGGGCTCAGCAGAGCTCCTGCCCATTAATCTGGGGCAGGCCCATCCCATGGAGTTACCAGGACCAGGGGCACAAGGTGTGGCCTTGGAGGAGGAGTGACAGGTAGTGGCATAAGGGACAGGCCAGGGCAGCCACTGGCTCCACCAGGGGAGCATGGATGGGGGACACTGGCTCATTTCCACTGGCCACGGGGTGTGGCTGCAGCAACCTGAGCAGCGCTCCAGCTCTTGTGGGGCAGAGTGGGAACAGAGATTCAGGACAATGATGTTTAGGAGCCACATGTCCCTGGCATCAGCCTGATAAACAGATCTGAGGGGGCAGGCAACCCAGTGCCTCCCTTGCTGCTTCTTTCTGTCCCTCTGTGGTGTGTTTGCTAGGTGTCCCCCTGTTATGTTTTTTTCTCTCACCCCTATTTTTAACCCTGACCAGCCCTGGGGAACTCGTCACTTCCTGAGGGGAAGCTAGGCTGTCCCAGACTCAGGCAGAAACACCCGACCACAGCAGAGTGCTGGCCTCTGTTCCATGATTGGACCCTATATAGGGGTAAGGGGCAAAATGAAGTTGAAAGGCCAGGTGAGATTGTGCACACCTATAATCCTAGCAACCTGGGAAGCTGAGGCAGGAGGATCACAAATTCAAGCTCAGCCTTGATAACTTAATGAGACTCTGTCTCAAAATAATAAATAAATAAGAGCTGGGGAGATAGCTCACTCCAAAGATGCTGGGTTAACCCCTCAGCACTACACACACACACACACACAGCAGAGAGAAGGTTGTCACGAGTACCAGGAACAGAAACTGTTCATAATCTGTTCCCCCAAACCACAGGTACAGAGAGGGTCATGCCTGAAGCCCCTTCCCTGCTGGTCCTGTCGCCAACACTGTCCCCACTCTCTGGCCCTCCTGCAGACCTCCTGCTGTCCCCTGCAGCAGGTATCCGGTCTCTGGTGCACTGCTGCGGGAAGCCAGGCAACTATGTCCACCTCTGCCACCCAAGTGCATGTCTGCACCCCTTCTTTGGCCTGGGAGCTGGGGCTCTCCTGGGACTGTGACAAACAAAGAGGGATCTGGAGGGCCAGGACAGGCAGGCAGGAGGGGCAGCAGGGTCTGGGAGGAGTTAGTTGTGCAGTCTGGCTATAGCTCAGTGGTGAGGATTTGCCCAGCATGTATGAGGTTCCGTTCCTAGCAAAAAAATACGAAAAAGAAGCCAGGTGTCCAGGCATCCGGTGGGCAGGATGCCTCCCTGCCTGACCCCATCAGACTAACCTTCAGGGGGTCTGTTTCCACCTTAAGAGCACAGGATACAGCAGCTGTGTCCCTAGAGTGCTGTTTTAGGGTCCCAGGGAGGACAGTCCAGGCTGAGGGGTTGGCCTCCTGCTAGGCTGAGTTGTAGGCTGTCCCCAGCATCCCTTGGGGACTTGCAGGGACTCAGGGTTCCAGGAGCCAGAATCCCTGCCTGCTGGGTGGTCTGTGCTACTCGGGGTTGGGCCTAAGGTCCCTGTGTCACCAGACAATGGCAGGGGTTCACAAGCTCTCTCCCTTGCACCCTGCCTGCCCCCCCACACCTTCCAGCCTGGTGGCCTCTTTACCATGGCCACCTATGCCCCTTGGCCATCTGAGTCACAAGGGCAAGGACTTCAGGGCCATCTCCTAGCTGCAGACTCTGAATCCCTCCTTGGGGTGGGATGGGACTGAAGGCAGATGGGAGCAGCAGGGACGGAGGCCTGAGTTTTCCAGACACTGCTGGTGACTCCAGCCTACGCAGAATCAAGGCTACAGAGTGAGGTCGTCACTGCACCTACTGTGCACCTGGAATGAGACCCAAGAACCCTAACATGGGAGCCCTGACTTCCAGGGATGGGGTGGAAGCTGGAAAAGAGGTCTGGTCAGCATGGTGGGTGTGGGGGTGGGGAGGGGCTCAGTCCTCGCAAGTGAAGAAGAGGGAAAAGAGGAATCTACACCTGTGGGACTCAGAAACGTTCAGGAGCGACTGGCTGAGCCCTGGAGGCTTCAGGGTGGGGACCAGTGGTGGCTGGAGAAGCCAGGGGAGGTCCACAGACTAGGAGAGCAGCGGAGCACATGAGGAACTTTGAGTAGGGAAGCATAAGAGCCAGTCTTACTTCTGCCTTCTTTTTCTCCCCCCTCTGTTTTTGTAGTACAGTACTGGGAATTGAACTCAGGGCTTTCATACTGAGCTACATCCCCAGCACCACCCTCCTTTCTTTTTGAGACAGGGTCTCACTGAGTTACCCAGTCAGGGCTTGAACTCATGATCCTCCTGCCTCAGCTTCCCAGAGTACTGGGATTTAGATGTGCGCCTCCATGCCCCTCTTTCCTCTGGAAAGGAAAGTTGTACAGTCACTGCAGGAGATGCAGAGAGGGGCCACTGGCGGCTGGAGGGCAGGGCTGGGGGCCTTCTGGGAGGCAGGGATGCCAAGCTGGCCATTCCTTGCTTTTGCAGCTGTACAGCACCCCTGGGGACCAGGATGGCAGGGAACCTTCCCTGCCAGAACCGACAGCTCTCCATTTCTGATAGAAAGCAGCCACCCTGGGCAGGCTCCTCACTTTCCCCAGTCCAGCCCCCAGCTTCCTCCAGGGAGGACGAGGCAGGGCATTTCCCACTTTCCGGGTCAGAGGTTAATGAGGGCAAATCACGGAGCTCCACTGGGATGAATTTCTGGGAAA